ACCACTCATAGCAGACAGGGGACATCAATCAGTGACAATATGACCATTCACGAATGGAACAAAGATTATTTAGTTTGCAGGGAATGGTTGTGGACGAGTATCACACGAGCGAGGGATTTTAACAATGTCTATTTTTACAAGAACAAAGAGGGAGATGAAGATATGTTTAAGAGTTTGGTAATCAACTATTTTAAAAACAAAGTTGAAGGATATAAACAGCAAGATAGAGTAGCAAAAAGAGAAATAGACGAAGAGCAATACATTGACGAAAACTGGTGCTTAAAATACTTCAAATCCTGTTGCCAAAACTGCGGAATTAATTTAATCTAGATACAAGAGGAGGAAAGATAAGTTCTAACTTCACTGCTCAACGTTGTGATAATGAGTTATGCCACACAGTTGAAAACTGCACCGCCTGCTGTGTCTATTGCACTTGTAGTGCGTCATGAATAATTTTGAAACTGAGTTTTTCAAACTTATTTTATTAACTTAATTAATGAGTTCAGCACAAGAAATTATTAAGAGTGTATATTATGATAGAAGCGGTTATGGTTCAAAACAAAGAACCCTCAAGGATGCTAAGCAAAAAGATAGTAGTATTACAATTAACGATATTAATGAATTCTTTAGTAAGAATGTAGAAGAAAAAACAAAGATGAGAGGTGAAAATAGTTTTATTGCTCCGCATAGTTTCTGGGAATTTCAAGTTGATATGTTTTTCATTTCTAAAAATGATTTGGAAAATCAAAAGTTTTGAATTGGAATGATATGCATTGATATTTTTAGCAAATATATGCATATCGTGCCAATTAAATCCAAGACACCGCCAGACATTTTAGCAGGGTTGATGGAGAACCTAAATAAAATGGGCGGGAGGTGTAAATTAATTTATACCGACGAGGAAGGCAGTTTTTTTAATCAATCAGTATTAGATTATTTGAAGGAGGAGACAATTGAATTACATAGAACTAGAGGTCATCCAGCATTTGCGGAGCGTGGAATTCAGACTTTTAAATACCAACTGTTTAAACGAGTTGAAGCGGACAAGAAAAATGGAAAGCAGAATATCCAATGGACGGATTATATTTTTGAATTATTATTAACTTACAATAATAAGATGGTGCATTCTGCCACCCGCTTTGTTCCAGCACAGGCAAGATTAAAAAGAATGAATTTGAGGTAAAAATGAATATTACAATGCAAGCAAAGAAAACTAGGATGTATCCAGAATTAAACGTAGGAAGTAATGTAAAAATAATGAGGAAGAAAGGCATAAGCGAAAAGGCACATACCAGTCATTGGTTAAAAGAAGTATTTAAAGTAAAATCAATTGATAGTAAATTAGGGCAATCTTACTTTCATTTGGAAGGAAAAACTAATCCTTATTTGAGACACGAATTATTAAAAGTTTAATATTAAACGAAATACAGTTAAAGAAAAAACGCCTTATAATATTAGTGAAATGTTGTTTAACTATAACAAGTGCGAATGCTGTAAATGCAAAATGACTGATTTGAGTTTAACCTTACATCATATACTACCAGCAAATGTATGTAATAAAATAAGTGAATATAATGTATACTGCAATCAATGCTGTATAACAAGAGACCTTGAAAAGTTTTTTCTTGAAGAGCATAAGAATAAGGGATATACAAAGTTTCAATTACAGTTAAAATTCTTTATGCGACACCAAGCAAGATTTCCTATACACTTTTACCAGAAGATTTCCAGAAAGTCATTTGAACATGAAATTGATGAATTCTTTAGTCATATAGATTTAATTAGGAGGTTTGGAGGAACAAACGCAATTAAACCATATAAAGCATTTGTCAAAAAATACCGTTATTTGTTTGAATGGATTGACTGGCATTTATTAGAGAAAGATAAAATAAACGAAGTCTTGAACGAATTTAGAGCAACTAAATATAGTATATGGTATTACTACAACACTAAATATAAAGTATGTCTATTGTTGTATTTATTCTTTTGGGAATATATTTATTCAATAATAGGAAAAAACAATATCACATATATAGACCTTGGTGATATAGATAAATATGTAGATTACATATTTGAAGACATATTGCCTGACCATTATTTTAATCCATAAACCTTACAATAAAAAAAACATTGTAATATTTATGATTTCAAAATGACTTGAAGAAATAATAACTTAATATATTATAGTGAAATGAGTGATACAGTCGGTATCAATGCTAAAAATATATTGAACAACAAGTTTATGAGTTATAAATGTAAAGACTGTGAAATGCTCAAATTACCAATTGAACGGGGTTTTGCAAATGGCGTTTGTAATAATATTTGTCAATATATGATATGCAATAATTGCAATAGAATTATTAAAAAATGATGATATGAATAACAAAGATATTGATATTATACATAATGAAACTCTTGATGATGATTTAGAAATATTGGTGTTTATTGAAATGAATAATTTCTTAACTATAGAAGGGTTTGATCATTTATTAGAATGTGACGACGAAGGATATAATAATGATTTTTTTAAGTATTATTGTATGGTAAAAACATTATACAATATGTCGTTTAATATTAAACGTTTAAACTATGTTGTATTGTTTAATTTTTTATATGAGTTTTTAAATGATGAGTATAGAATTGACGAACTTAGATATACAATAACACATGCAATTAGAACAATGGGGTTGTTTAGAACAAAAATAGGAAGTAATATTTATAATGAAACAACGTGTGATAAAATAATAGAAAGACTAAAATTAATAATTTAGTTTTAGGCGAAATAGTCCTAAAGAAAAAACACCTTATATTAATAGTGAAGAAATGAACGGTATTGACATCAATAAGTATATTAATAAGAATTGCCATGACTGTTGCCACTTTAAAAAAGAAAATATGGAATTGTATAAATTAAATTTACCTAATGAATAATAAATAATATTATTGATTATGCATTGGACGAAGAAGATGTATGTAGAACTTGTAGAAGATGGCGACGATATCAAAATATAATAGATTTTTTTGGAGATTAAAAAAAATAGATAAAAGAAATGTAGAAGATGAAATTTTAATATTTTTAACCGTGTATGAAAGACCACCTTATAGTTATGTTAGAATATTTCTAAAAATCAGTAAGAAAACATATAAAATGATTGAAGGTATATTATGGATGTTGACCTATCATAGTAGGGAAGGTGTTGATGTAAAAGAAGACATTAAAACATATATTGAAAGTAAAAAGTTTAATGTTAAAAATACAGTGAGAGATATTAATATTATTTTTAAAAATAATGCATGAAAGAAGTAAGATATATATATATATACAACTTAGTAGTCATCAATTAAATTTTTACACTGAACTTAAATTGTAAATTAACCCATAAACCTTACAATAAAAAACATTGTAAGATTTCTGTTTGAATTTCTGTGATTTGTTATTAAAAATAATGTTAATTAATAATTTAGTTTTAGGCGAAATAGACCTAAATAAAAAACACCTTATATTAATAGTGAAGAAATGAACGGTATTGAAATCAATAAGTATATTAATAAGAAATGCTATGATTGTTGCCACTTTAAAAAAGAAAATATGGAATTGTATAAATTAAATTTACCTAATGGAATAATAAATAATATTATTGATTATGCTTTGGGTGAAGAAGATTTATGTAAAATTTGTAGAAATTGGAGGTTTTATCAAGAATTAATCAAATGTACTTTAAGTATTAAAAGGTTTAATGAAAGAAATGTTGAAGATGACATTTTGATATTTTTAACTGTAAATAAATTACCACCTTACGAATATGTTAAACAGTTTCTTAAAATCAGTAAGAAAATATGTAATGATTGCTGATATATTATTGATGTTGTGTCATAGTCAAAAGAAAGGAGAAGATATTAAAGAATATATCAAATTTTATATTGAAATTTATATAAAGTTTAATGTTAAACATACAGTGAGAGATATTAATATTATTTTAAAATGATGTATGAAATAAGTAAGACAAATCAATTAAATTATTATCCTGAACTGAAATTATAAATTAACCCATAAACCTTACAATAAAACACATTGTAAGATTTATGTTTGAAAATTATGGGATTTTATATTTTGGGATTTTGGGATTTAGGGTATGATACAGGTTTAAAGGTAAATGACCTTAGTAAATTATGGAGAAGCAGTATTGCAAAAGATGTAATGCAACTAAACCAGTTGAAGAATTCAACGGAATAAACAAATATTGTATAAGGTGCTTGGAAAAGGAAAGGGAACAACACCAGAAGAATAAGGAACAAAAACATCAGCAAAGCAAAAAATTCCGTGAAGCACATAAGGAAGAAATAAATGCCAGTATGAAAGAATACAGCAAAGTCTATAATCAAATTGAAGTATTTTGTGATATTTGTCAGTGCAAAGTTAAAAAATGTAGGTGGTCGGAACATAAAAAAACTCAGAAGCATAATAACAATCAGAAGCAAAAGGAAACACCGACTATTATTGAAGAAACACCTGTTGATATTGAAACAATATGAATTGAAATTACACCATAAACCTTACAAAAAAAACATTGTAAGATTTATGGTGGGAAATTATGAGGATTTTATATTTTGGGATTTTGGAAAAGTATATTTTGGGAATTTGGGATTTGTGTAAGATGGTTTTGACCTAAAGGGAAACTATGTAACTATAGTAAGGATGGATGAACCTGAAAAAACAAAATGCACTTCATGTAGATGTAAAAAACTTCCTAGTCAATTAGTTGCTGGGAAAACTTGGTGCATAGTTTGCGCAGAAAGTTGGAAGAGGTATAGGGCAAACAATCCAGAAAGAATTAGGGAGGTAAGCAAGAAATATGATGCTGAGCACCGCGAAGAAAAAAAGGCATATAATCAAATTGAAAAAGATTGTGAGGTTTGCGGTTGTAAAGTTAAAAACCCTAATTGGTCTAGACATTTGAAATGCAAAAACATCTTGATAATTTAAACCGCGATTTGTAAGGATGCTGGTAGAATTTTATGATATAACTTTATCATAAAATTTTATATTTTGAAAATATCTGTGAAAATTTATGTAATAAGTTTGTGTGGCGGGACGATGTCTGAACAGAGGGGTGATCTTTGGTAGGTCAATATCCTACATTCTCCTTTTTCCTTTTTTTTCCTTGGTTTGGGGGGGGGTGGTCAATGACCGAAGCACCTGCCTAAGCCATGTGAGTTTCGGCCTGGTTTCGTGTCAAACTTGGCTTCGCCTGCTCCGAGGTGGCCTCGGGCCCTTTGGCAGTTCCGATCCTGGCGCTGGGCGGCGACCGGGATCCGGTGGCCCCTCGGAGCGAATCAAAAAGCAAAAAAACGTGGACCGAGGGAGCCCGTTTTTTTCCTGGGAGTTGAGGGACACCAATTGGAAAAACTTGTTTTGTTTGTTTGGAGTTCTTTGCAAGGGGACACAAGGAGGAGAGCTGAAAATTAACCAGAGATGTTTTTCTTTTTGCCTGAGTTGGGCTAAGAGAAATCAGTGGACACCGCTCATTTTCGGGGTCCTCTTAAGACTAAGTCAGGGCAGGCTTTCTGCGAGACTTGGCAGCGAACGCGGCTAAGGTTCCTGTTGCGCACTTGGCGACTTGGCAGACGGAGACCACCAAGTGGAAGGCTCCCAAGGCGCGATGAACGCGGCTTCAATTCGCTCACACAGGTAAATCAAGAAGATAATAAAGATGTACGTAACATATATAATATATATATATATACACATACATACACATATATATATATATACACAATATACACGTAGTCTAGCTGGCACTTCAGGGCCTTGCCTGCAGATGTGTTGGACAAAGATTTGGACCTGGGTGGCCTGGCCAACAGGATTTTGTGCAAACTCATTTGTAGAATTAACGGGCTCGGGGATGTGGGGAGTGCAAATGATTATTTACAAAACGCCGGAGTGATGATTAAGATGTTGATGGTTCCTGTCTCACTGCAGATGATCATTGATATTACATTGTAATTTGCTGGCCAAATCTGAGCTGGTATGTGCCACAATAAATATTCAATATATGAGCCCTGTCAGGAGCAGCGGTTCCATTTTGCAGCGAGATAGAAGCCGGACTTATGAACAACCAGGGATTTGCACTAGCCTTCCTTCCTCCCCCCACCGCTCCATATGACGCTCAGGTGTTTTCCGGAGGCCATTTCTATCTTGTGGATCAGGTGCAAGAGGCCCGGACACGCCACGCGCGACAATTTGAACCTTGACAATTTGGCATCTTGGCTTCCTTTTCAACGAGGTGATTGGAGGCGAAAAGCTGACGCGACACGTCAGCCAAACTAGACATGTGCAGCTTTGGGTTGATAAAGCCCAGACCTCCAGTGGGCTGTACCTGCTCTGCCGCTGTTGTCGATGTTTGCTGAGTCAACCGTAAAATGGGGGTGTGTGTGTGTGCGCGCGTGTGTGTGTGTGGTGTGTGTGTGTGTGTGTGTTTTTGTTTTTGTTTGCCCCATGGAAATCCATCGGAGGTCTTGTTGAAAATGGTATCATCTTTTTTCAGGCAACGCTTAGGTGGTCCCCTGGCTTTTGTAGAGGGAAACCACCCCTTAAGCACCAAACCAAAAGGAAAAGGTCCCATTGGAGGGGTAGGCTTTGATCCCTGCAAGCAGGTTATGGCACTTCTGAGGAGCTCCTTGGAGGACGATTCATGGCATGGCCTGATGGCAGGGTTTTGGGAGCCGCCTGCGCCACTTGGGGCCGGTGATGAGTTCCTCTAAGCCGAAGCCCATTTTGGTCAATGACTTTGGGCCGTTTCAAAGTGAGAAGCGCCTGTCAACACATGCCACTTAGGGCTGGCTTTGATGGTGGTATAACAATGGGCCCCCCAACCACCAGCGGCGGATGGGATTCAGGGTCCCTTCTGCTCCAACTGCATGGGTATATAACGTCCAGCGCCCCCCCCTTTTGTTTGTTTGTTCCCATGTCCAAGACTCAAAGTACGGAATCCAAGCAGAGTCCTTGGGGCCCGGGTGCTAAAAATGGACTCCTTTTGAAGTTCTTCGGAAGTCTAAGGGCTGGCGAGCGCGAGAAGGGCGTGCCCTCCAGGAGGCTTTGGAGGCCTTGCCACCTTCGATTGTCACAGCTTCAGCCATGAACCCAGCCGAGCCCGTTTCTCCGGGCGCCAACATTTGGAGCCATGGTGGTTTTCCTCTTGGTGTTGCACACACAAAGACGGGGCCCTCAAAACTCAAAACCAACAACACACACACACCCAGGTAGTTCTGCTAGGTTACCTTTAAAACAAACAGACAGACCAAGCCAAGCCAGAACAAGCCAAGCCAAACCAAACCAACACACAATGACAAGCAACCAAACAAACAAACAAACAAACCAATCAAACAAACAAACAAACTAGGAAGCAAACAAGCAAGCAAACAAGCAAGCAAGCAAGCAATCAAACAAACAAGCAAACACGCGCACGCACACACACACACACAGACTCACACTTGCTGTGTATGTTGCTGAAACTTGGGCGAAGCTGGAATGGTCCGAGGTTACCATTCCTCCAGAGTGCTACGAGAAGCTCATCACCGAGGCAGTTAGAGGGTCGTCTGGCTGCTTGGCCGCCTCAACTTGGTACGAGGGGATTCACCTCACCAGGGACTAATAGCTGTTAGCAATGTAGCCCCAATAACAAACCAATCAACATTTTGGCGGCCAAGTGGACTTCCATCATCTTTCCTACAAGCGAGGCGCAAGGACCAGCTCAACCTGAGACCTCACTCCGGCAAAAACCAAAGCGAACACATCGGCCATCAGAAGGCCCTTGGAGTTGGTATGGTCAACCCCTGGGTAGAGCCCAAGGAGCATGAAGAGGACGTCCGCGCCACATTCTGCTCGGAAAGCTGTTGTCTGTGAAAATCGGATGCCGTCGGAATCGGATGACGCTGGAAAGTTTGAAAGCATGAGTGCGGTCCGTTCGTTTTCTTGGCTACAGTGTTACAGGAGAGCGCTCGTGCGCAATTGTTGCCCGCGTCATGGAGGGTCTGCTGAAGCTGACCCTTGCCACTCTTGATGGCGCAGAAGTACACCTGAGCGTGCCAGATCACATCCTTGGGATCGACCTGATTCGGCTCGTAAAGTCCGAGCTACCTCCAAAGCCTGGTGTACTACATTTGTTCTTTGGTGATGTCAAGCTGGCGTGTGATAGAACTTTGCAACAGCAGGGCCTGCGCACAGACTTAGTTGGAACGATCACCTGCACTCAAACCTGCCTGTCAAAGGCCTGGAGGGTGCTGGAAGGACATGAGATTGATGATTCCGAACAGATTCTGGAAGGCATCACGCAATTGAGATTGAATAAAACTCACCACGCCATAGTTTTGCCCTCCTCGCTGCTGAGCTTGACTCTCGGCCCCGATTTCAACAGAAGCGTGGATGGAGTGACTCTGCCAGGCAGCCTCCAAAGCCTGACTTTCGGCAAGGACTTCAACCAGAGCCTGGATGGAGCGACTTTGCCGGGCGGCTTGCAGAGCTTGACTTTCGGCCAAATGTTTAACCAAAGTCTGGATGGAGCAACTTTGCCGAACAATCTGCAGAGCCTGACTTTCGGGTACAGGTTCGACCACAGCCTGGATGGAGTGACTTTGCCAGGTTGCCTGCAGAGCCTGGTCTTCGGGTTTCAGTTTTCCCAGAGCCTGGATAGAACGACTTTGCCATCCGGCTTGAGGAGCCTGACTTTGGGCCACAGTTTTAACCAAAGCCTGGACGGAGTGACTTTGCCAGACAGCTTGCAGATCCTGGCCCTCAGCTATGCGTTTAACCAAAGCCTGAATGGAGCGACTTTGCCAAGCAGCCTGCAAAGCCTGACATTTGAAGCTAATTTTACCCGGAGTGTGGATGGATTGACTTTGCCAGACAGCCTGCAGAGCCTGAGTTTCGGCTTCTATTTCAACAACAGAATGGATGGAATGACTTTGCCATCCAGCTTGCAGAGCCTGACTTTTGGTCACGCATTCAACCAAAGCCTGGATGGAGTGACTTTGCCGGACGGCTTGCAGACCCTGACTTTTGAGGGTCGGTTTAACCAAAGCCTGGATGGCGTTACTTTGCCACACAGCTTGAAGAGCCTGACTTTTGCTGGAGGAAGAACTCAGCACGGCGATGCCAAAGGAGCCACCGCGCAGCAAGATCAGCCTCGGCGGAGACGGGAAAGACCTCATCGGTAGCGGCGAGCGCAGCGCGCTGGGCGCTATCAGTGGTGTGGTCCTGAGGTTGTTGGCCTTGCCCGTGATGCGCTCGCCGCTACCGATGGGGTCTTTCCCGTCTCCGCCGAGGCTGATCTTGCTGCGCGGTGGCTCCTTTGGCATCGCCGTGCTGAGTTCTTCCTCCAGCAAAGTGTCCATGCCGGCCACGCGTGTATGGAGGTGCGGCCCGAGCGTCCTAAGGGCAGCTTCCCTCGGGCCCGTTGTGTTGCCCCCGGCCCGGCTCATCGTGAAGCCGAGCCCCTTGCCTTGCGGCGGCTGCGCCGTCTTCACCGCGCCTTCGCGGAGCGTGTGCGCTATGCCGTTGCGGCCTCCGCCCCCCTTGCTCCGGCTGATGATCGCCGCTGGCAGCAAGCTGTGCGGGACGGCCTCTGCAGCGGCGCCGCTGCGCCTGCTACGTATGGGTCCGCCTTGGACTCTCTGGCGCGCAGCTGTTCCGTCTTTGACGCGCAGCTGCAACAGCAGCGCTCCCGGACCTGGCGCGCTGCCTTTGCTTCTTGGTCGCGCGATGTCTGGGAGCCTGCAAAGCAAGTCCTCCGGCCCCGCTCTGTCCCTCCTGCCTTCACTGCCGAGGAGATGGCCTGCTCCTGGCGTGCCGTTTGGCGGGGCATGCCTCCGACCCGCCGCGGGTCGATGCGTGGCGCGCCTTGGCTTCTGGCGCTGGCCTGCCGCCTGCGCCGTGCGAGGCCCCTTCTCTGCCTTCCCTGGACGCGTTCCGGGCTGCTGTCCGTTCCTTGTCCGGGTCTCCTGGTCTTGATGGTTGGACTGCCTCGGAGTTGAAAACTTTGGCTCTGCACGCGCCTTCTCTTCTTGAGGAACTGCACGCTCTCTGGTGCCACACAACACTTGCTGCCCCGGCTGGCTTGCCCGAGGACCTGGTTGATTGGTTGTGGGCTTGGAAGGCTGTGGGTGTGAGTAAGAAGACTCCGTACGACAGTCGCCCCATTTCCGTGGCTTCCGTCCTTGTCCGCTCTTGGCACAAGGCCTTGCTGTCTTGCTGGCCTGCCCCTCCCGCTGGGCAGTGGTGTGGCCGGAAAGGGGAGTCTGTCATCTCTGCTACTGCGGATTGGCTGGCCCGTCCTATGCGCGCTGGCGCTGAGCTCGACTTGAGCAAGGCCTTCGACACGGTGGATTACCCTGTGGCTGAGGCTGCCCTGCTTCACCACGGCGTCCACCCGGCTGTGTGCCACCTTGTCCGTCAGGCTTGGGCCGCGCCCCGTCACTGTTGTGTTCACGGCGCGTTGGCTGCCCCGATTCGTCCTTGTCGGGGCATCCCGCAAGGCGACCCCTTGTCGCCTGCCACTCTAGGCTTTGTGCTTGCTCCTTGGGCGCCCTTCCCTGGGGGGTCCGGGCGTTGGGCTTACATGGACGACCGCACTCTCGCGGAACTTGACACTGCTCCGCGCGGCGCCTTACAGCACGGTCTAGAGGCCACTGCCGCCTTCGATGCTGCGGTGGGTCTACAGGAGAACGCCGCCAAAAGGCAGGTTTGGGTTGCTGGCGAGGGCACTGTGGTTGAGCACCTGGGGTTGCGTCTCAAGCCTGATGACCCCTCTTTCCCCATCTGTCCGCGTGACTCTTGGGCGGGCGCCAGTGAGGTCATCGCCCGGCTGGCTACAATTCCGGGCCCTGCCAGCGTGCGCGAGCATCTCGCTAGTGCCTTCGTCCTGCCGTACTTCCGTTGGGCTGCCCCGTTGCTGCACCCCGCCCCTCCCGCTTTGGCTCCTCGGCTTTTTCGCGCTGTGCCTGCCACCGACTGTAGCTGGTGGTGCCCTGGTCGCTGGTGGGCTCAGCGTGTCCAGCTACATCCTGTTCTGGGGGCTGCGGTCCATTGCGTGAAGCGTGCTTCAACTTGTGCTCGCTCCTTCTCGCCTCACCTGCAGGAGGCCGTCTCTGCTCAGCTCGTTCAGCTTGGCTTTGTCTTTGAGTCGCTGACTGTTGCTGGTGGGTTGCAGGTGTCTCTCCCGCGGGGCGCTGATCCCCGTCTGCGACACCTGGTCGAGTCTCGATGCGGCCCTGTTGCGCTTGCGGATGGTAGCTTGCGCTTCAGAGCTGACACGCCGCCCGGTCTCCACTGCGCTCGGCAGGCTGCTCGCCTCGTCTCCCTTGGCGAGGTCAGCCGTGGCCGGCAGGATGTTGACGGCCTTGGGCAGGTTGACGTTGAGGCCTCCTGCCACCCCGTGTGGAAGCGTTGGGTTGCTGCGCTCTGCCACCGGGACGCTTGGCTCCTCGGTGTCTTTCGCTCTGGCGCGTGCTGGACACCCACACGCCGTTTTGCCCGCGGCGCTGCCGATGCGCTGCGTTCTGCTTGCCCTTGGTGCCACGCCCCCTGGGCTTCCGCGCGGCACTTCTTCGAGGACTGCCCTCAGTTCGCCTCGCTTCGTGCCTCACTTGCGGCGGAGCATGCGTTGCCTGCCGCATGGTGGACTACGCAGGCCCGTGTCACTTCCAAATCGGGTTGGATCTGCTTGGCTGCTGCGGCTTCGGTCCCGGCGCGTGCTTCCGCCCAGGTTGCCGCTTGCTCCTTGGGTCTCGCTATCATGCATGCCTTGGCTCTCGATCACCCCGACCACCCTGCTGGGCGTCGCCCGTCGCGCTTGTCCGCCAGTGACTTCGATCCTGGCTGAACCTTGTCGATTGGCTTGCCTGCCTACCCCGTTGGTCTGCGTCCTGCGTGGCCTGTTTGTGAGGGTGGCTTGCTATTTGCCCCTTCTGGGTTAGTCTTTTTCCGTGGTAACTGTCGCTTACTATTGAGCCTCTCTGTGTGCCTGGCTTTGGCCCTTGTTGGCAGCAGCCTGTGCGCCTGTGCGTGTGCCGCGTGGGCGCTGCACTGGTCATGCTGGTGCACGAGATGAACTGCGCGGGGCTTTCCCCCGCTGCGCATCCAGGGGCGGTGGCCCCACCAGTGCCTCAACCCGCGTCAGGTTGGCGCTTTCACCCGCCCATTGCGGAAGAGTTTAAACAAAGCCTGGTTAGAGTGACTTTGCCAGGGAGCTTGCAGAGCCTGTCTATTGGCAATATGCATAACGGAAACTTGGCTGGAGTGATTTTACCTGGCAGCCCGCAGAGCCTGACTCTGAGCTCAAATTTTTGCTTGGAAGGAGTGACATTGCCAGGCAGCCTCCAGAGCCTGACCGTTGGCCCCTATTTCAACCAGAGCCTGGATGGAGTGACTTTGCCAGGCAGCCTGCAGAGCCTGACTTTTTTCTCTAATTTCAACCACCGTCTGGATGGAGTGACTTTTCCCAGTAGTATGCAAAGCTTGACACTCTCAGCTTTTTTCAACCAACGCCTGGATGGAGTGACTTTGCCGGGCAGCCTGCAGAGCTTGACTTTCGGCCGTGATTTCAACCAAAGCCTGGATGGAGCGACTTTGCCGAGCAGCCTGCAGAGCCTGACTTTCGACTGGCGATTCGACCAAAGCCTGGATGGAGTGACTTTGCCAAGCAGCCTGCAGAGCATTGCCTTCGGGTATGAGTTCAACCAAAGTCTCGATGGAGTGACTTTGCCAAACAATCTGCAGAGCCTGGCTTTTGGATGGAGTGACTTTGCCAGACAGCTTGCAGATCCTGACTTTTGGCGAACAATTTGGCCAAAGCCTGTTCGGAGTGACTTTGCCACACAGCTTGAAGAGGCTGACTCTCGGTGCTGGCTGTGTCCAATGCCTTCAGGATGTGAATTTCGCCGGCAGGCTTCAATCGTTGCTTGCCGGAAATGTTTACTTGGCTTTGTAGTT